TAATGAGATGTTCTTATAACGGGAGTTCATATAAAATCACATGACTTGAAAAATGATTATTAAAATTTTTTTAGAAATCATTAATTTTCAATCAAAAATGTAAAGATACTTTGTTACAATTCACAAACCCATTCTTGAAAATAATAGATACTTTGTCACCGCTAAAACAATTTGCAAATTTGATTATTGTTAATTTTAGTGTTAATAATAATAAACTTGATGTAAGTAATTTGTGTTTAATGTGTTTAGTATTAGTAATATTAAAACATTAAAAATGTAAATGATTAGTCATCTAATTGTGTCATAGTGATTTGAGTAATTTGATTGGTTCTCTCATTGTACTGACATGTCCTTATAACGGATGTCACTATAATGGGATAAATTTTATAATTATTTAAAAATTTTTTGTCCAATTATGTCCTTATAGTCTTATAACGGGATACATAATGAATGTCATTATAACAGGAGTAAATTTATAATAAATTGTTTTCCAAAAAAAAATCGATTGTGTCAACAAAAAAGACTTTTTTTGTGCAATCAAAAAAATAGGGGTTCTTGTGCATGTGTAAATAAAAAAAATTTTTTTTCATCAACTATATATTTTTCTTTTCTTTTTTTTAAAAAAAAAGGAATAACAGCAAACAAGACAGAAGAAAAGAAAGCAAATATTCGAAATCCCGAGCTTGCTGGATAAGTGTTTATCATAAGAATGGTAGTTATCGTCACTCTAGTTGTTAAAGAAGGGTGGTGATTGCAACTTGTCATCATCTAGGACTGATAAAAAATCATAGTCAGGAAGCCGGTAAACTGGAAAAGGCATATAATTATTATTCTTCTGAAGAAAATAATGTAAATTTTGTGTTACTCAGAGTCTATGCTTATAACAAAATTAAATTATTCTTCATTGTTAAATACTTTAGGATGATCATGAAGGGCAGAATGAAAATGGGGTAGAACATGAGGTATTATGTTCCAAACAAAAGGCATTGCTTGATAATATACAATGATAAAGAAATAATTTTTTTATATGGGATTTTTTTGTCCTTATTTTTTCTTTTAGTTATCAGATTTTTCATCCAAACAATCAGATCAAATAATAAATGCTGATGAAATAGAAGTAAGAAGGTGATTTTTTTATAGATTCTAGTTTTGATATTTTACAAACTAATATGTTTTTCATATTGTTTATCTAAAGGGAGATGAAGAAAATGAAGATAATGAAAATGTTGGCAATGAATATCTTGATGACCTTGATAATGGTGATGGAAACATAAAGGTATAAATATTTATTGATATTTTAGCTTATGAATTTTTGTTAATAAATTTACAAAATATATTAGAAGAGTCTTCTTAGGCTAACTGATTCAAATCAAACAGAGATAAATGTTGCATATAAATCAATGAAAAAAGAAAATATTTGGAAGTTAAGTAATGGCAAATATCTTGAAGAAGAATTGTATAAATTGGGTCTTAGGTATACATGAAGTTGAAACTATTTTGACCATTTGCAGATCTGGTTGAAATAGGGTTGAAATAAGGTCGAAACTGATTTTTACTATGTAGTTTCCTCAAGTTGAAACATTTTGACTTTTGGGTTTTAATTTCGACTTCATGTATAGTCTTAGGTTGGATTTGAACAGTAAGTATTTAAATGAGTAACTCATCCATTATTATTTTGTAATGAAAATATATTAATTGCAGATTTGTATTTTTAGTAGCATTCATTCATTTATAATTGACATTGATGATGAAATAATAATAATAAATTTTAGTAGAAAGGAACTTGAGGAAATATCTGCTATACCTTGTCCAGCTGTAACAACATTATCAAATGATACTATGAACTATCTATCTAAATTCATTGATAAAGTGATAAGAATTTTCCTATATTCTCATGCAATACAGGTCACTCCCATTATAAGGACACTCGTGGGACAGACAAAAAATGTCTGTATAACGAGATTGTTCTTATAACGGGAGTTCATATAAAATCACATGACTTGAAAAATGATAAAATTTTTTAGAAATTATTAATTTATTTTAAAATCAACAATTTAGCAAAAGTTTATAATTATAATACTGTAATAATAAAATCTTTTTAACATTTTAATTGACATTTAAAAAAATTATCAAGAGCAAAGGTCCTTATAATTTTTATTGGATTCATAAATTTTATTAGTCAATTTGCATATAAGAGTCCAAACTTGTTTGTTTGGATTCTTTAAATTTTTGACTGATTAATTGTTTTTTTAATTTTTGTAGACCATCTAAAATAAATTCTTCCACTATAAACCCTTCTCCTTGTTGTATGTAAATAAGAAGATCCTCACAACTTTTCAATGCATCTTTGGTTTTAATATGAATGACATCCTCTTTCTCTTCCTCCTCTTCTTCATTTAAAACAACTGCAGCAATTTCCTCTAATTCAGGCATTGCTTCAGTTTCATTATTACTTTCATAATTAACATAATCTCCAGTTGTCAGTGGCTCATTATAATGTTTATTCATTAAATCTTGTAATTCTGATGCAACACTATCTTCACTATCCTCATAGTTATCTAAATCATCTTATGGTAAAATACCAACTTTTTTCCAAGAGCGAATAATTTTTTCACTTTTAACATTCTCCCAAGCTTTTGACACAAATTTAATTGCATTATAAATGGTAAGCTTTGAAATAGATTCTTTATTTTCTGTCATATTATAAAGATCGTACATCTCAACATGATTTTTACAAAGGAGCTTTCTACAATAGCACTTAAATGACCAAATTATTCCAGCATCAAGAGGCTGTAGGTGAGCTGTGGTGTTAGCAGGAAAAAAATGAAGTTTAACATTTGATAATCCAGATCTCCTACATGTGATGAGGCATTGTCAAGTAACATGATAATTTTTTTATTTTCCTTTTTCATTTGTTCATTGACTTTTTTGATCCAATATTGAAAAATTGAAGCCTGCATCCAGGCCTTTTTATTCCAGTAATAATATACTGGAAGTTTGGTTTATCAATGCCTTTAAGAGCACGAGGATTTTCATACTTATGAATTAACAATGGTTTAAGTTTTTCACCTTTAGAATTACAAGACAACATGACAGAAACTCTTTCTCTAGATTGCTTTGTATCAGAGGTTTTACCATGAGCTAAAGTCCTTGATGGTTCAAGTTGCCAGAAAAGTGCAGTCTCATCACAATTGTAAATATTACTAGGATCATAATTTTCAAGAATTTCTTGAAGTTCTTCACAATATTGTGGTAATAACTCAATTGGAGCAGATTCTGATTCACCTTGTTTAATTACTGAATGAATATGATATCGATTTTTAAAATGAGAGAGCCATCCATCACTACCTTTAAAATCACTTACATTCATAATTTCAGCTAGTGCATGAGCTTTTGTTTTAAGAATATCTCCTGAAATTGTAAGATTATGCACTACAGCTTGATCAAACCAAAATGCTAGAGCCTCTTCTAACTGTGGCCAATTTGCCAGCCTATTCTTTTTAAAGTGTGAAGTTGTAAGAGTTTCATCAATGGAGAGCCATTTATCTGATTCTGATAAAATTCCTGAAACTGTGCTTCAGCCAATTTTAAATTCTTGAGCTAAATCATCTTAGGACAAACTGTGATCATCTTTAGCATGTTTACATAATTCTTTTTTTTGTGAAGCACTTAAATAATTTCTTTTTCTGGATGAAGGTGCAGAGGTTGAACTCATTTTAAGGTAATTTAGTTAAGATAAATCATTAACGATTAAATGGTTTAGAAAAAACGTTTTTAAAAAATTTGCAAAATTTTTAGTACAAGTATTGGATAATTCATAATTCTTTTATATATAGTCTTGTTTGAAAACGTCATCAAAAAAAAAAACAATTGTAAATAAATTTCTTTATTGTCAAAAATGCAAAATATTTCATCACTATAAATATTTCATCATCATCAAAAAACAATAAGAAGAGATCAATCAAAAACGTAAAGATACTTTGTTACAATTCACATTCTTGAAAATAATAGATACTTTGTCACCACCAAAACAATTTGCGAATTTGATTATTGTTAATTTTAGTATTAATAATAATAAACTTGATGTAAGTAATTTGTGTTTAATGTGTTTAGTATTAGTAATATTAAAACATTAAAAATGTAAATGATTAGTCATCTAATTGTGTCATAGTGATTTGAGTAATTTGATTGGTTCTCTCATTGTACTGACATGTCCTTATAACGGATGTCACTATAATGGGATAAATTTTATAATTATTTAAAAATTTTTTGTCCAATTATGTCCTTATAGTCTTATAATGGGATACATAATGAATGTCATTATAACAGGAGTAAATTTATATTTATAAAAATGTGTTTTTGAAAAAAATGTCACTATAACGAGATTATCACTATAATGAGCTGTCCTTATAATGGGAGTGACCTGTATAAATATATTTCAGAATTGACAATTTATATCATTTATTTATTTTGTCTAGAAATCAATAAAAGAATTCTGTGGAGTTCTTAATGAATTTGATGAGAGATTTGGTGCATCTTATGATAGAGAAAAGCATCATGATATTGATTATATCAGAATGGCTTTATATTCATTGTAAGTTTTAAATTAGTTACACAATTAATTGCTAAGTCATTTTTCTAAACTATCTTAAATTAAAAATGGCTATACAGGGTGAGGGAGATAGAAAGCTCAAATTTAGGGGATGAAAATTTGGAATTATGGTATAACTCAGGGTTGGAAAATGTGCAGTCCATTGATGGTCTATTGGGTCCATTAATGTAGTACTTTGACCATATTTAGTATTTTATTAATGGCAATGGACCAATCCAAAATCCATCAGTTCTCAATGGACCAGTCAATTTGCTAACCTGGTATAACTGTCATATCTGGAACATTATTTTTGATCAAAGTTTCAGTAATGTAAAAGAGGCAACAGTATAGAGCATATACATGCAGCCCAACTCCTCCTTCAACTCCATTGCAGTCAGAATATGATTTTACGGATTCTGAAGAGGATCCAAAGTCAGAATTAGATTCTGATTATCAACCACCAAACCCTGGTAAAACAACACATGTCATGAACAGCTCTTTAATTGGAAATATTCATACTAATTATAAATAATGACAACAATGATAATATTCATGATCCATTCTATCATATCATCTCACTTGCCTTCATAATCACTATTTCTCTCAATAATTATCACTGTTGTAGCTGATGAACTGTTGTTCTATCATCATTTCTGTTTCACCACAAATATTATTATGACCACTATTAATATGATCTATATAATATTATACACATTTTTAAAAATTCATGAAATTTTTAAGGAAAAAGTTTTTAGTTCTATATAGTTTATTTTTATGTAAAATTTTGCAAAAATACAAATTCAAAAAATATCCAAAAATGAAAATCGCAAATTTGATTTAAGTTTGTTTTTTTTAAACCAAAAAAATAATTATGAATGATAGAAGTGTGGGTTTTATATAAATATTCTTCACGGCCTAAGCTACATGATGATATAAATTTTATTTATAGTGTGTGATCAATAAAAAATGAGGTTCTGATAGCATAGTGGACTTTCAATTTTATCACTAAATGCGACATAAAGTGATGATCATATTTATATTGTTCAACTAACAAAATTAATTGAAAAAGTATAGTGCAAGTCACTTAGTCCCACAACTTTCTGCGCCACACCGCCAATTTTGGGAAAAATTCCCAATCAAAAATG